TATTTGGTTTAATCCATAAATGATGTGTGTTTGGTGTGCAGTTCCTTCTGCTGTGGGGTTGTGTTGAGAAGCTAGAAAAGGTGATGTTCTTCAGGCTTTCTTGCCTCTCTCAAATACAGCAGGAGAGGCTGGCAGACTCAGGCAGAGGTTGGAAAGCCTGACCAAAAGTGTGCAGTGAAAGTGAAGAAGGGAGGAGAGAGGCACTGCTTGTGGCTAGCAGTAGTACTTTGATGATGGGAATGCAAAGGTGGTAGGGCAGTGTGCATCTCTGCGAGAGCTTGTGCATCCTCTTTAGTGAAAAATACAGAAGAAAGTGACTGAAGGGGGAAAACTAGGTTGGTCAAGCACTCGTCAAGGCCTAAGGAGAGACTTTCCTCTTTGTTAAAGGAGGTGTCTCCAGGTAGAAAACACATCCTCTGAACTTCAACACTTTCTGCATCTGCTTAGTAGTTAAACAGGTGGCGTCAGGTTTGGGGTTATCAGGATACCACATTCTTGAAGGAGCAGTGTTGATAAAAGGAGTATTTGAAGATATCTGTGCATTAGTGGCTCTGCAGTTTCTAACTAATGCACTAAGTCCAGAAGCTCATTCAGAGCATCAAATCCTTTGGCATAGAGGACTTGAGAGTTTTCTGGGGATGTTTTTGATTTGCTTGAAAACATCCTTTCCTGTTAAGTCTTGCATTTTTTTGCAGCCGCCTTCTCCTGAATTATTTAGACTATAGGTGAGGAATGTGAAAAGTCTCATTTCTGTGTTCAGGTATCCAACATCCCTGTGTGGACACTTGGACATCCGTGTGTCACACAGAGCTTCCTTTGCAATTGGTTGAATTTCCTGGAATGTAAAGTGGAGTTGAATGTGTGAGTGCTTGTGACCACATGTGTATATTTCTGTGTATAAAGAAATACATATACATCTGTAGATGAAAAACATTATATGCTATTCAGATTTTGGCCCTTGATGAAATCATTGTTCACAGTTGAGATTGCAGCCACCATAAATCAGGGCAGAGTAACCCATAACTTATTTTTAAACTGGTATGCTTGGAAGGCCAGAGGTACAGGGCTATGATGGAAACACTGGCGCTTGCTGCAACTGTGCAAAAGGATGCAGCAATAAATAAATCCTGTAATGAAATGGGTGATTATCTGTCATCTACTCTGAAGGGTTGCCATGGCTCTGGGTTGTTGCAGACCACTTAGCGATTGGCCAGTGATTGTGCTTGGTAGTCTGAACCTACGGAAAGAAAAAGGGAAGAAATACAAACTGTGTACAACACTAAAGTTAACTTGGTTTATTCTGCCAAGGCCAAGGTGCCTGGGCTATAGATGTTAAAGAGATACGGTGCACCGAAGGGTTTATAACACCTCCTTCACTCTTGTGGCTTCTAAGTGTGGCTAATCAAATTTATATCAGACTACAAACAGCTTTGTAAAACAGCTCTAAGGCCCAGTGTTGCTGCTGGCTTGGTAGAAAGTGGCAGCATCACAAAATATGTCCCCCAGTGTCTGAAATGAGGCAGTTACCCTCGGATAGGCATAAATGCACTATTAGATGGTTGAGAAATACATTCTCCCCCCAAACCCTCCTGGGAATTTATTGTAGTGCCTTTGATGTAACTAATTAGCCTGCTCAAAGTAAGCAGTGACTAACAGTCTAATAAATGGCTAATGGAAGGAACTTCATAATGTTTTCAGATCAGGATCCTTTTGAGTGTTTTGCAAGAGGCTGAGAAGCTTTTCCCTTCTGAGGAATGGTTGCTGGTAGTCAGATCCTGATGTCCATAGTCGGCTTCTTCTGAGTTATGTTTGAGCCTTCTAGGTCTTTGAAGAGGCTAGATGTTGGAGAAGAGAACATCCTGGAGATACTCTGGGAGTACAAAGCTTGAGTTTTAGCCCCGATCGGCAGACATGGATCAGTGTTGTAGTTTGCTGGGGCTGTCATGCAGTAACTGGCAGTCTTTTGCTGGATTTTAAGGTGCAACACTTTGAAGGGGGAAATGAGAAAGTAAGATTGTTCTTGCAAGGGAGGCTTTTTCCTTCTAGTGAGAGTTTCCCAGTCGTCAAATAGCAAAATCAAAACAACTTACTACAGCAAGAAAAGGAGATGGTTTTGCCTGCCCCGTAGTTCTGTAGATTTAAAAGGGGAAATCACATGCTACATGTTCATTTCGCCAATTAATTTTACCTTCAAATGTTCTCTGCATTAAGGCTTGCTTTTTTTTTCTTGTCCACTGGAACTACAAAGCACTTCCAGTGCTAAGAGTCCTTTTCTCATCAAGCTAATGATACGGCATGTCTACATACTAACAAATAGCTCCAATACATTTTCCAGGCATACACCATTTGTGCCCAAGGGTTGGAGTTCTTCAGATGCTGGATGTGAATCCCTCTTGCTCTGCTTTCAGGAGTAGTTTCTCTGAATCCCTGGGAATATGGTATGAGTAAAACAAGCGGGATTTGGGCCTTGCAGGCTCCATCAAGGTAAACTTTAAAGTCATGACCTCAGTACCTAGGTGTAGGGTTTAGTGTTTCTCCTGCAGCAGTCAATGCCGTCACTAGCACCTAAAACAGAGTGCTGGGGGCTGCGCTTGTGCATGGTGTTAAGTATCAGTGCAGTAATCCACTGTCTGCCATGGGAGAAACACATAGTCGTGCACTTGGGAAGGGAGAAAAAGGCTTTCAGCTGGTTTGATTTAAATTGTTTGTTTTTGTTATTTTAAAGCCTGTGTGGAAACGGGCTGGGAGAGGGCTCATTCAGAAGAGAGGCTCCCACTTCTTTGGAGCCTGACCTTGTGGCTGCTGAAAATCAGTGTCTCCATCAGCTTCCCCAGGACTGCAGCCCTGCGGGCTGGGGTTGGGCATTGCAGGGGTTCATGCTCTGCTGGGCAGCTTTAGGCAAACTTGGCCAACAGGATACCATGGGAATCTGGTTCGCAGCAAGAAGCTTCCACAGCTTGATCTAATGTCCTTGAAGTCAGTGGGATGGCTTGAGCATCAGGTCAGTAACTTCATGCATATACCCAAATAGTACTGCTTTTTCTTTCCCCCCATGTCCTGCATAATCAAGGAGATACAGGGTAAGGTGCAAGGCAGCCTGGTGCTGCCTCCTGCTCTCCTTGTATGCCTTCTGAGGGCGAGAGTCTTGGAACTGACAAGGAGGTTTCCACAGCACCCTGTGCCCTTGTATGTTAGGTAGCTGTGTCTGCAGCTGTCTATTGTGTTCCCCAAGTAGGATTATTTTTTACCCAAAGTTAGTTTTTTAGCATCTACCTATAGGTCTGATGCTGGTGTTTGTAGATGCAGGCTCCCAGTTAAGTTCAGTAGATCTTTGCTTGAAAGGTAGTTTTACTTTACAGAATTTCATTGAAGTCCATTCAAATTCAGCCACTTGTGTTTAGTTGGGAGTAGCTGGGGAGGCACCAGGCAGTGTAAATTCATTGGGATGATCAATAATTTGAAGTAAAGATATTGCTGCTAACAAGGCTGTCTCTGATGTAGGTGTCTGATAAAGCCTACCTGAATTTTAAGCTGCTTCATGCCATTAGCAGGTTCCCAGCAGTTTTGGAAGAGTTAAGTGCACAGCTGGAAAGGGCTGCAAGCCGTGTTCTGCTGATAGCGATGCATTGCTGACTTAGCATTAGAGCAGTGCAAGCACTGTACAGGCCCAATCTTGTCTTCTCCAGGTCGGTGGGAGCTCTGCCATTGACCCGGAGAAGTGCAGGATCAGGCTCTGTTTTGTAAGTCGTGGAAGCTGCATTGATGCATTGTGTTCTGGCTTCCTCTGGACTCCCAAAAAAATGGGCTGAATTGAGTTGTGCTGTAGATGCAGCAACAGAACTTATCTCATTTGTGTAAAATAATGGGGGTGTGCGGAGTATTATGTAGGTATTGTTGGGATTGGGTCTGCTTTTTGCCTCCTTGATAAATCCTTTTTCTTCCAGTGAAAGTTAAAGATGACAAACAAAAGGATATAACAGGTTTCTCAAACAAACAAAAAACCCCAGGAAAGAACTGTGTATTCATATTCCAAAGGTCACAAAGCAGTTCCTGGAAAATACTATACATATGGTAATGGGAAGATAACTAAGCTGAAAATCCATTACAAATGGCAATATAAATCTATATGTTTTCAATGGTGAGCTCAGATAATGTATGCTATTTGTAAGCACAAAAGTCTTATATAAGGTATGCTTAAGCATTGCTAATAAAGTGAGTACTGTACTTCTTATCTAACAGATTTTGTAACCTCTCATATGGTTGGAGTCTATTTTAAAAGCCAGTTATGGGCATTGTACATCATATCTGTTAGTGTTCCCAGAGTGTGTACTTCATGTGCAGTTGCTCCAAATGCAGGAAAATAACAAACTTGGGACCAAGACTGCCGAATTTAAACTGCTGTACCCACCCAAACCAAACCTTTGGTTACAACATGCACTGTTTTTAAAGGCAGGCACAGTCCTACAGATGTATTTCCTCCTGCTTTGCTCTTAAGGTGGCCAGAGAGTAGTGATCAGCGTATGTACGAGGGAAGGTGCAGATGCGTGCGTCTATATAAGCCTGGCAGTTGCTGTATTGCATTGTTTTGAGGAAGAAAATACCAAGTCTCAAACTTAGACCGTCTTAAGCTTAAGTAAGGAAAATTGCTTTCTTACTTGGGTATCTATTCTATTAAGAATCTAAGTAGTCAGTCTTTTTTACATTCCACACACTCCCCCCTTTCCTTCTGCCTCACAGCAACTTAAAATGCTACTTTTCTGGGAAAGACTGATATTCTGACTTCAGTTTTGTAATTTAATGATGGAGAGTTTCCTTAGTAAACCAAATTTAGAGTACTAGAATGCTTATCTTATATCCAGACCTTGAACATAAAAGGCATTTTATACCAGCAATTGTTCATTTAATGAGCAATTGCGGAGTGCAGGACGGTTAAGGGATTGAGCTATATGCACCATTATTGCAAGAAGTATTCTGAAATACCAGAAATAGGACGTAAGCTCTGATCAGGGGGACTGTGAGCACAATTACCTTCTTTTCAAATCCTTCTGTGACACTGCGGGAGGAAAAAGGACTTTGAAACTTGAAAGGAAAGAGCTTGCTTTCAACCTCAAAAGCTAGGAGGAAAGGGCTCTGAAATTTGCTCAGTATTCCCAATTCACCATTAGCCTGTTTCTTCCTTTAGCCTCAAGGCATTCTCCGCTTTTTGAAAAGATGTTAAGAAATTCAGTCACAATAGAGAGCCTAGTTTTGAACATGTTTCACTCGGTCCATTGAGGTCTGGTCTTCAGCCTTTGTGTGGGGTGAATTGAGCTGAGCAGCAAGCTGGTTGGGGAGAGGTGAATGAGCAGTCTCTGTGCAGTCACAAATTCTGGCAAAGAAAAGATTACCCTTTCCTTTATTTTACAATATGCATTCCTGTACAATCCTGCTAGTGGCAATATGCGGAGCCGAGCTTGTGCTTAGGTCAATATGGAGCACTTGGTTTATAGCAACTCTTGTTAAGTTTGTCTTGTAATTGAAGCTGCTGTTGACCTTGCTTGGAGACCATTTGTAAAACCGTTTATTTAGCATAAACTGAAATAATAAACCCTCCTTCTCTTAGGCCGATTGTGATAGGGTGACATTAGTTTGATTTAATGATTAGCCGCCTGACCCCTCAGCTAGAGAGAGCTGCTTGAATAGGGAGAGTTCACTAGGAAGCACACAGGAAGAATACTAATGAGCTTGTTAAATTTAGCATGGCACCAACCACTTTTAATTCCTCTAATGGGAGAAGCACTGCCTCAGAGTGGGGGGGAAGGGAGAGAGACAGCCAGAAGGAGAGGGAGGAATGCCCACGTCCCAGTAAGCCAGAGAAACTTGGGCAAGAGAAGAGCTTGGAGGGAGCATCAGCCAGGGTCTCTTGGACTGAGTTGTAAGTACCTTGTCTTTTACCTAGCTGAGGTGTGTCGGCACATTGCTCATGAGACAGTAATAATGCTCTCCGAGTCGCTCACGGGAATGCAGTGCTGAAACTTCGTACGTGGATAGATTTAACTGGGAGGCGTTGGCTTGCTTAAGCAGGGGTCTCTTTGGAGTATGGTGAGACTGATGGGGTGTTTTGTGTAGTGTATCAATAGATCTCAACTTTTTCAGTTGCTGACTTTAAAAGGTTTAAAGTAAAAAAGCTTCTACTTTGTCTTATTCTACAATAAGAAAAGACAAACCCCAATTCAGCAAGAAGGAAAGTTTAATGGATTTCTGCATCAGGTTTTGGTCTGTCCTGGCTTTTGATTTTCTAGATAAACTAGCTTAGCAATTAAAAGTGTTTGCTGTCCAGTGTGAGCTTTCTGAAAAAGCTTGTTGATTAAATGAGGGGTTTCTTGGTGCTCAGCACTTGCGGTAAAAACCAGTAGCACTAAACTGGGTATTTCTTAGCGGACAGGAACATCTTGGATTAACGCGATCGCTCCAGGCTGGGCACTTGTAACATGTGTCTTGCCACTGCCTTGTTAACACATCATAGGGTGTACGTGAAGAAAGAGAAGCTTATGTGGATAGCTCTTGGGGCCTGATTACTCTTTTCTTTTCTGGTTTAACCCCGCTCTTACACCCGCACAAAGTGGAATGAGCTATGCTGGAGTTGGTGGGATCACACCAGCAGGAAGCGAACGGGAGGTACAAGGGAGGATCAGGCCCTTTAACTTGGGCATTTTTATCTCTGCAGGGCTTTAATAAATAGGATGTTTCTTTTGACCCTCAAGCTGGCCACTTCTAAAATGCGAGCACAGAGCAGGAACAGTTGGTGTGTATTTAGCTGTAAGCCCCTTTTGGCAGATGCTGCTGGAGAAGCGGGCTGTTTGCTGATGCTTTTGCTGCAGAGTCCCACTTGTTGCCATGGTGGGCAGTATGTTTCTGTCAATAATTTGGCCTGGCGCGGCTCGCCCGCACTTACTCTGAAAACTCTATTGAGTGATTCAGCTGAAACAGAACAAGATTAGACAGCTTGTGCCTTTTGGTGCGCTGGAGTGGCTCGCCTGCCCTGGGGAGAGTCGGCAGCGTTAGTTACTGCGGGAGGAGTTTCCCACTCGGGGAGCTCCTGCAAACCGCTTGCCTGCTCGTGTCCCAGAGCATGGGTACTGTCAAGTTTCTCTATCAAAAGCAGCTCAGCAGTGCAGAGCATGAAGTTAGTGAAGTGCTTTGGCTATTGAATATACCTTCTTATTGCATAGATAATCCTATTTACTGAAATCCTGCTGGGGGAGTTTTTAAATGACAAACAAAAACGGTTTCACTTCTAACATCACACACCGGTAATTTCTTAATGGGGAGAGAGTTGGTTGCTGCAGATGTAAAAATACTGCTTTTTTTTTTTTCTATATGGTTTTTGTTTGGGTTTTTTTTTTTCCTTGAGGAACCAAAAGAAAAAGCTGATTAAAACAAACCACATTTTTCCTTTAGTTTCAAAGATACTGAAAGTAGGTTTTGAATTTCATTCGGCAATTTGGAAAATGAGCTTGTTCCATAGCAGTCGCTACCTTGATTCATGACACATGCATGTTTCGAGAAGGAAGGCATAAAAGTGGAGCCTGCAGACAGACGTCAGCTCCTTGTTGTATCCCAGGATGGCAGTTTTAACAAATATTATCTTTATATGGAAGAGTAAAAGAACTGAAATCCTATCTGATCCTTGGATTGATTATACAGCCCCACAAATCACTCCAGCTTGCTGCTTTCCCTGCTGTGGTAGCACAGGTTAGTTTGCTCTGCTTGAGGGTCTGTCAGGATTTCAGATGGAGTGTAATCCCCTATTTTTACAAGAGTTTACATCACATCAGTGAAAGTTCACTGTAGGTTGAAATTTACCATAAAAGACTCTGTCTAGAGAGAAACGTGATGGAAAATACGACTTTGGGGTGTTTTATTTTCTTTATTTTTCAGTTATACAAGCAGCCTTCTAAAAACCTCATATAATTGTTGAAGTTTTTAAACTCCCTTCTTGCAGTTCGCTAACTAAAACCAGCTTTGGTGTAAAAAGTTGAAACCTTAAACCCTGCTAATCCAGAGCAGGGACCGGTGCCTCTGCATATTAATAAAAAGTAGAAAAGGGCAAAGGGTTTAAACTCTGCAGTGGTGTTGTCCATTTCCATTAACTCTTTCTCCTCAGACCCAGGCCTGAAAAAGCTCTGTATGGAGAATTACTGCTGGCTGTTAAAGGAATTCAGTCCCTGGAAGATGCTGATAAGTCAGCAGACCCCGATTGCTGTAATACTCAGAGATAGGAAAATAATTAAGCATTCAATAGGCTACACTGCTGGGTTTTCTTGTTGTAGGTACTAGGGAGGAGAGGGGGCAGGGAGAAGCCTACTGAGCACTGCGTTCAAAGGAACGGCGTAGCTAGTTTGTGCATATAATGGCCAAAATTCAGCTCCAGGTATCTAAGTACAGAGCCTGCTTCTAATCTAATTCACATAAAGGCAAATAGGTTGAGCGAGGCTGGTGTCAGGCTTGATGAAAGTAGTCTCCTGGTGAATTGCTGGCTGGCACTTTCAGTGCGTGAATGAGTGCACCAGGGCAAGGTACAAGTGAGAAGTTAGCCCTGACCTCTGATCTCTGACAACTCAAGTGCAATCTTGGCACCATTGTCAATGATCCTTCCTTGCCTGTGTGTTGTAGAGTAGGTGTACCTTAGCTTTATTTCCTAAGGGCGTTTTCATTTCCTTTCTAGTTAGCTATTTTTGTGCCTGGTGTTTAATAACGTGAGGTTCCTCGTGTACTTCCAGAACTGGCGAGCAACTTCTGAAGCTGAGCGTATGTACCAGTACTACTTAAAGATGTATTGCTGTGCACCCACATGTGAGGCATGGTTGACTTGGACAGGGCTGTTACTCAGAGCATGCCTGGTATCAGCCAAGGGTTACAGCCAGCAATCATGCTTTGTTTAGAGAAAGGTCTCTGTATTTCAAAGCAATAATGCAACTTAAGGAGAGCAGCTACAGTAGAGCTAACAAAACCCCTCTGGCATGTGTAAAATGTACCCAGGAACATGCATCTGGCTTTTGAGGAACAGAATCACTTGGCTTGGTTTCTGAAGGGTACCTCTGGCCCCCAGGGGTTAAAATTCCTGGGGGAGCAGAGGGTTGGTTCAGCTCCTGGTTCTGGGGCTGTCTGCAAGGGAAGGCTGGTAGAGCTATCCTCAGGAGGCCCTTTTCCCCCTGCAAGTGGTACCGTAGGCTTGCTCCAGACAGGCTTGAGTTTGCCCCTTCTGATTATTCCCCCACCTTTTCCCTTTGTTCATTTGAACAAGAATTTGAGGATTGTTTGTGTGGATATGGGGAAAAAGCGGGATGAGGAGCATGCTCCCGCCCCCTGGCACACTGGTCCATGTGGTGACCGTGTTAGAGTGGGCGGCCTCACTTGCGCCTGCCTGATGCTGCTGGTGCTGTATCTTAAGCAATTCTATTGTTGCCCACCTTCCTTCTGATCGCTGCTGACCTTCCTGCAAGGCTCTAGCTTCTCACACAAGCAATCCTCAGGCACTGGCGCTGGGCCGCAGGGCAGCGGTGGGTGGCTAGGTTTGATTTAGACCCTGCTGTTGGGGTTCATCTTCTCCTCTTCATGACAAATTGTTTCTTGCCTCCCCGTCAGGCAGCCCAAACTCCCAGTCTCCTTGTCCCAGAGGCAAGAAAACAGCAAGCCTGTGTCTGCCCTCGCACAATTGATAGCCCTGCCGATAGGAGCATCGGCGCATGGGTGACGATGATCTACTGCCCAGCAGCCTCCTGCTTGCAGCAGGCAGCCTTCCCCAGAGCATCCCTCATAGCCACACGTGCACCTACTGTCACCAACTTGCACCGTGAGGAGGGGGTGATGAGGAGGAGGGAGGGGAAGAACTTTTCTTTATTCTGTTAGCTATAAATGGGCTAAAAGTGTGTGTCTCTCTTCCCCCTTCCCTTCTTTCTTTCTTCTCCCTCGTTTTTTTGCAGAGGATGAAAGTCCTGGGCAGACCTATCACAGAGAGAGAAGGAACGCGATCACAATGCAGCCGCAGGGTGGGCAAGGCCTCGGCAAGATCAGTGAAGAGCCTTCCACGTCGAGTGAGGAAAGGGCCTCATTAATCAAGAAGGAGATCCATGGATCTATATCGCACCTTCCCGAACCTTCTGTACCTTACCGTGGGACGCTGTTTACCATGGACCCCCGAAACGGTTACATGGACCCTCATTACCGTGAGTATCAAGCGCTGGGTCATTTGGGGATGCAAAGCTGGAAGGCTCTCAAGGCTGTCAAATGCAATGTGATTTCTGTTTGTCACCTTGCATTGTCCCCAGTGAGGACTGCCTTGTCTGGGGGGGGGGTGGGGGGGGCTTGAGGTAAACACAGTCTTCACTATGAAGTTAGAAACCAGGGTGCAGTATTGCAGCTTGAAATCACCACAGGCCTCTGCAAAACAACTTCCACAGGACATCTCATCTGTTGCTAATCCTTCTCAGCCATCCAGGGTTGCGTTTGCCCCACCTCCTTAATGCAAGAAGGAGGAGGGGGTGAAAGGCTCATTACAGAAAGCACAGAAGGAAAATGAAACAGGCCTTAAAATCCTTCTTTTAAAATAATGTTCAAGTATGGTATTCAGAGGAAGGACTGTGCCTTGTGCAGTGAGGAATTACAGGGGGTTGGGGACTGGAAGGCTTGTTGCTGTGTTTTTTGGGAGGCTTTGTTTCAGAGGTTTTTTAGGGATTTGTGTGTGTTTGACTCTGTGGGCTCATGGAGTGGGTTTGGCGTTTTCTTCCCTGAAGTTTTAGGGCAGGAAAAAAAGAGGCAAATGTTTTCAACTTCTGAATTCCTGCTCAGGCATTAATAAAGAAGTAAGAAATTAACTGACACTTGAACACAGATGTGGAATGGATTTCTCCACAGGCAAAATAGGAGGGAGTTAAGCAATTTTTTTTTTCATCTGCTTCTAGTTTACAGAAAAAGAAAGGAAGAAAACCAACCCCATTTAGTTGTGTAGTAATGAAGTACATCTTGAGGTGTCAAGGCTTGTGCCTTTTGATTACAGATTTATCACCCAGTCAGGATACAGATTTGCCATTTAACCTCCCAGTCTCCAGTTCCAGATGATAGGCTTAAGACCCACAAAGAGGGGCCAGTCTGTGTTGGGTTTTTTTTGCCTTCCACATCATTCAGAAATGTGAGTGTTTTAAGGCAAAAGGTCATTAGCCAGATGACTGATTAGTGAGGACAGCTGATTAGTGCATGTTTTTTCGCTAAGGAAAGTGCCAGGGATAAAAGCTAATTTTATCCCTTCATTAGTTGGGCTAGCAGCAAAGGGGAATGTTCACTCATCAGGGTGCAGATCAAAGTATGTCTTGCACAACCTTAAGTCTCACCAGCCTCCTTTAACAACAACAAAAAAAAGCCTGATTGTTAATAAGGTTGGAGGTATTATGAGAAAAGGAACACTTGTTGTCTTTGTAGTTTGATCAGTATTTAGGGGAAAAGTTTGCAGTTAAGCTTTTGAGCTCTCTTTCAGTGTAGACAGTTGGTTTCTGTACACATTTCTGCTCTCTCACACAGCCCTGCTCAAACCCTCTGGGGGAGTTACTCATCTCTCTGCCTAGGAGGATGTGCTGCAGCACACCAGCAGCAGACTCCTCTGCCAGAGAGAGGAGCGGGTGTGCAGAGGAAAGGACCGCTCATGAGCCATGGCAGGTAGAGAAGTGTGAGCTTGTGGGTCGGAGACACCATTTGTAGCTTACAGTTTGTTAATGCAACCCCCAAATCTGACTTAAAATAAAAATTAGGGAAGCCAGATAGCTTCTCTGTAGGCAGTACAGGTGGGGAGAGATGAAATGTGTGACAAATACAACCTCCCAAATAAGCAGCAAACCTGATGCTGAATGTAGTGGTAACGACTGCTGCTTTGACCATCTGACCAGCTGCCAGCTCACCCCTTAAATCTAGTTCAAGATGTTAGTGATACTACTGAAAATTCAGACTGGAGAAGGGCTGAGCAGCCAGAGTGAGTATGAGTGGTTTGTATTTAGTTTTTTTGTTATATTGAATTTGAGAGTTATCAATTTAATGAAGCTACTGCATCTGTATAGTAGTGACAAACAACACTAGCTGGTTGGGATACGTGGGCTCCTAGAAAAGCATTGATGCCAGAAGTTGAGAGAACAGCAGAAGTTACAACAGCAAAGAAACAGATGAGTTAATTTTAAGCGAGCAACATGATGTTAAAGCAGAAGGCTAAGTCAGAAAACATCAGATGGGCAGACCTGTTTCACCACTGCTGTTGTGAGCTGAACATTGCTACTCAGTGATTTATAAAAAATCCTCAAGCTATTAACGTCATCTAAAGAGCCATCATGCTTTTATTTACCTTTAATAGATGTGATACGGAAGGACAACTAAAGAGATAAATGTCTAGTTAGATTTATAGGAAAGCAGACGGGCTCACTGAAATTTTCATAGTGGTTGTATCATTTATATATGTAAGACATGCTTTCATCCAAGCGGTGACTGTATTCAGGCTGACAGTTATAGTGGTCCATATGAAGAAGGCTGAATAATGTAAACACACCCCAGTCCCACTGTAGCAACAGGTGAAGAACCAGTAAGTCTATTGTTCCCTTCCTTAGTTTTGCTTCCCAGTGTTTTGCTGGGCATATGGATAGAAAACACTGTTTTAATTCAACACAGTCAGATACGTAAACACTCACAGTAATTTCTTCGTTTCTCTGTGGTTGGAAAATAGAGACTTTTCAAGATGCCTAATTTGTGCTTCTATTTATACCCACTTTGTATTTAAAAGTGTGGGCAGGCTTCCTGTAAGACAGGAAAAGGGAAAATAATTTTTTTGAAGAAAGACATCTGTATATTTTTATGGCGAGAAAAGAAAAAGAGCATTTAAGTCAATTGTGTGTGGAAGGCATGTCCCCTCCAGGAGCTGCAGTTATTAGAAACAACCCGAATGCTTTGCAGTTCTACATGTAAATACGTGTGCCTCTCAGTGCATTGCAGGATTTTTTTGTTCTCATTTTTCTTCCCTAATTAAAATGACTGTTGTAAAAGTTGGAAATAATAGTTCCCATATATGTGGAATAAATACCTCATTGAGGGGGAGTTTGCTCTCCTGCAGAGTGCTGCGGGTGGGGATAATGGTTGTGTTTCAAGTGGACCAGCTTTTCAGACAGCTGGGATGAAACATGCCGTAGAGCTGGCGGCCCTTCTGCACTGCCAGAGAACCCCTCAACCATTTAGCAGCAGAGGAAAAGAGCATGGCCTTGTGCTCAGCTCACGGCCCTCTATCCTCGAGGGGTAAGAGGGAAAACACACAGGCCTGAACCAGAAAGCTTTGTTTTGTGTCTTTTTTGTTAGGTCTTCCTTAATCACCATTTAAACAAAGTGTGGAGGTCTTGGGTTTGGGGTGGTTTTAAACTTTTTATGAACTTTTTTCTGTTTAAAAGCTTGAGAGCAGATGACAAAAATGCTAGAGTTTGCCTTCAAGTGTTGCGCCTTTTCTTCATTGAAGAGAGCAGGGTCACTGAGCTTAATCACTGTGTTTCTTAAATAGATGGAAACCCATGTGTTTCCCAAACACTGATTGCAGTGGTAGTCGGAGCCCCTTGTTAGTGTAGATTCTGTCTCTAGAGGTGGTGCTGAGGCAGGGGTGGTGGGGATAGCAATTTCTCTTTGTTACGCTCTTTCCCAGTTTTAATTCTCATGCAGATTTATGGCAGTGCTAGGGCTGCCTGTCTTGCAAGTCATTCCTCATGGAAAAAATGAATCATTCCTGATGTAAACACTTTGATTTAAAACATACTGCTGGTATTCTTCCCTGCGTTTCACAGCTCATCTGAAAGAATTGTTCGTACCTAATTAGTAAAGCCTGAAGAATTATCTGAAGTAAAAAGCAGTGACAGTTCGGTTGGCTCTGATCTAACAATCTGTATATGCAGGAGTGGCCCTGGCAGGATTCTCTTCCTGGGACACCGCTTAATCTCCAAAAGGTTTCACTGAATGTAGCTGAAAGCAGGAACTCCTTTTTTTTCCCCTGTTTTTTTTTCTCTTACCTCCTTACCAGGGCTGCTGGTATTCCGCTGGCTTTGAAGCTTCTGTGTCTTGGGAAGTGGGAACTGCTTACTGCACGTTTCATAGGATTAACCCTCCTAAGGTATTGATTGCCCTCAGTTCCCACTGAATGTCCCTGGACTTGTGCTTTTTAAGGATCGAGCCCTGCGTAACTGCCTGGGTTAGATTACCCAGTGTTAGTGTCATCTCAAAATCAATTGGCAACATGAGCAAAAGACCACAGTGAGGAAAATCCAGTGCAGGTTCACGAAGTGCACTTGTTTATTTACTGAGCTTTAATTCTTACTGACAAGAAATCCTCTTTCTTTCATCTCCCCGTGGAAGAGGAATGGCAGGAGAAATCGGATTCTGTTTCTGGAAATGCAAACAGGTAGCTGGAAGCACTGTCTTAAAATGCAGTAAGTAAAAGCAATGGCTTTTCATGGCAGTGGCGCTTGAACCATGAAGGCTAGCTATGACAATCAGAGCAGTCCAGATGGGAGCTCACAGATACGGGTCCTCCTTTGCTTTGTAGAGGGGGGAACTGGTGGCCTCCCTTGTCTCCCATGGTACATTTTGGAACTCCAGGGGTACAACTGGAGTCTCCCAAAGTAAGAATTTAACTTGCCTATAGCATCTCAGTGTCACGGGGCAGCAGGAGCCTGGGACGGCTTTTAGCAGAGGGTTTCCCTCCAGCCTTGTTGGAGAGAGGTAGGAGAGTGTCAGTAAGGAATCCTTGTGGAGATTTAGGGCTGGGGTCTTTAGAGACATTTAGGGGCTTTCCAGTTTCAAAGCGAGCTTGGCCTCTTAATACCTCTGAAAATCTAGGTCCTAATTCTTTGCTCTTTCTGCAGCCTTTTGCAGGGGAGGGGCTTAAGTGCTTTAGTAACAAAACTCTCCACTGACAGTGATTTATGGGGTGGGTTCCAAATGTTGTCATGGAGGGATAGCTGAAAAAAGGGGAAGTCTAAAGCTTTTAATAAAGCTCACAGGAAAAAGCCTGTAGTGTAAAAGTGAATGTCAGATTACTGGTGTCAGCTGAGCAACTGAAATGGTGGTCTTCAAGAAAAATCAGCATGTTTGCATTAAAGATTTGGGGATAAAAACCTAAAATATGATCGCATCTTTCAGTAGCCTCCAACAAAAAAAGTGT